ATGTGGATAACTGTCCTTGGTGAAAATTAAAGTAACATCTACAGATTGCTTACATTTTTAATTTCATAATGGTAGGAGGTGTCCTGTATGACTTACCCTTGCAGTCACACTCTCTGGCACAATTTTTGATATTCATCAAGTGTGCATTAGATGGAACTCTAACAAGAATAAGAGTTTTTGTTATTTATCAAATATGATTCCTCATTAAAACAGTTAATGAATTTAAATAATATTTGCTTGCCTTCCTCACTCTGGAGAATTAAATTATTAACAATTTGATAATGATTAAGATGTCAGTTGATTTTTTTTTCAACTGTGATGACGATGTCAGAAAAATTTATGTGAATGTTGTAGTACTTGAAAATTTAATCTTAGGCAAAGTTAGTTAAAACAAAACAGCAAATTAATCTCTAACCACTTTCGTATACAGATGCAACTTCAATTGCTATTGATGATTTACAACAATATATTATCTCATCCAATATTGAAACTTGCTCCTTTAAATATGCTTGAAGAAATATTTAAAACAGGATTGCAATCAGCACTTTTTGAGTTTAAAAATTAATTTTATTATTGTACAATTTTACTTTGCTCTTACTATTTTATTCTTGTATTTAATGTGTGATTTAAAAATAAAAAATAAAAAGCATTTTTAAACACGCCAGTATATTACGAAATATATTGTCAGTCCTAAGTCTGCAAAAGTGTGAAGGAAAATGTTTTACAAGTGTCATTTTTCCACTAATTTTAAGTATTGTCTCTACTTAAAAGTTATTTTTAACTGTCTCTGAATAGTTAAACTGCAAGCATATGTCATAAGCTTAAAATATTTTCTGTATTTTAAGACTAAAAATATTGTAAATTGTTACTGTATTTCTTTAGTTGAATATCAATTCTCAGTATTTTAACAATTTCTATTCTTTTAAGTTATTTCATATAATAACTTAAATCGTGAAGTGATATCAATGATTAAGGCAATTATATTCTGAAGATGGTGTGTGAAGTGTTTTAAGAATTTTAGACAGGAGAGCAAATTTGTTTGACAGTGAAAAAATAGTCTCCAAAGAAATGTTTCTTTTTACCAAAGCTTAAGAAATTCTTACCCAAGTGTAAAAGATTGAACTAGCTCAAGTGTGAAAATTTTGATTTAACTAAGAAAAATCAAATACAAATGATTTTTTTCATCTAGTTTAAATAATTGTAAAATTTCAGAAATAGGTTTCTTCTAGAAGAAATGCCAAGCCCAATTTTAGAGAATCTCAGGAATAAATAAGTGCTGCAAAGAGTTAAAACAAAAATGAAGTTGCAAACTTCTTTCAAAGCTTATAAATTGTGCTAATTTCTTTTGTTTGAAATAATCCAATTTAAAATTGTGTACTTATTTGTATAGTATTTTGTGGTTTTATCATGAAGTCTCAATGATAATCTATATATGTTGATAAATGAAGTGCATTTTCAACAGCTTTTTTAATCTCAAGCTATCTGCTTCCTAGTATTGCAAAATATTGAACATTAATGACTTTTAGCATTAAAACATATGAACTTTTGAACATATGAAGAATTGAAACTCTTTTAAAACATATGAACTGTACTAATTTTTTTAATGTTGATGGTAATGCAATTAAAGTTTTGTACTTGTTAAAACAGTCTGTAAAATATTTTCCTATTGGTTTAACAATTTTAGAAAATTTGTATTTACATACTTATGAACACTTTATTTAATAGTGACAGAAAAATGAGCTTTTGTGAACCCCTCCTTCTCAAAAACATAATTTTTTCAAAAATTCTATTTTATGTCCTTTAATCACGATTTCTCAAAAACCAATCTAATGAAACTTTTGCACTCTTTTTCTATATTTGAGGCTAAATAAATCAGTAGTGGGATTCAACAGATATGCACACAACAGTTTTAAAATTTCTAATGTACTGCATCCTGGTGCTGAAAACTTCCCGATGCTGTTGATTTAAAACATTAAATTTCGACAGGAGTTCAACCTGTAGTTTGTAGGAATAAGTATATTGTTGAATTTACTATTTTGGAGCATTTAATGTATCTCAATTATTCTAATAATTATTTTAGACTTGGTTTAAAAATGAAGAGACAAATAAGTTTAGGGGACTATTTTTCTAAGAAATCTGAAACACATTTTGAACTAGTTGAAGAAACAACAGAACATGAAACGATAAACCACAACAATACATAAGAAATATTAAGGATAATGAAATTAAACTTCCTAAATGCTAGATTTAAGAAGGGTTTCAATGTTTTTTCCGAAAGATATGGAAGATTCAGTGGTGATTGCTAAGTGGTGCCATCGGGAAATGTAAAAAAAAATCAAGCATCTTCAGGGGGAGGGAATTGAAAATCCTTCAATTCTAAGTATCACAACTTATGTCAGGATAACTTTAAACAGTCAAAATTTAATAGGATATGCAAAGTTGGGAAAAAATTAATGAAAAGTGCAGAGTCCACATGTAAAATGTTTAATACTGTGTACTGTTTGACAAAACATTGTTGTAAATTCTTAGACATTGAAGCTGAAATTGAGCTTCAAATAAAAAAGTGGACTGAGTTTGGAGTTTGGTCTCAATTCAAGGAAAACAGCAACGAAAACTGCAGACTTTATTACCAACAATAAAACGAAATGAAACACTTGTAAAATAAAAATAGATGTATTTAAAAAGTGTGTTATTATTGATGAGGTTTCAACTGCCTCAGCAAGCCAGTTTTAGTGATTTTTATTAAAATGGAAGATCCAGAAATCGCACCCTTCATCCTTGTCAGATTAGTTGGATTGCAAAAGCAACATTCTACATCAATTTTCAAAATTACGAATTTAAACAGCTTAGGATTTGGCAACAATTATTTAAAACAAAATCTAGCTGCATTTTGATCTAATAGAGCCAAGGTAATGGGGGAATGTCTGGAGTCAGTGCTCAAATTTTGAGTTGTTTTCCAAATAGCACTGTTTAAATCATCACTTTTAGCTTGTTTTAATTCACTCTAATAAGTTGATCTTTTAAAAAATTTTAGTGATAAAATTCACGAAATTTTTCATCTATTAAGCAAAAATCAGATTGAACTTATCAGTACTTATCTTAGAAAGGAAATTATTAAAATTGGATGTGTCCTAAGCAACATGCAGTTTAACATCAACAGCTGCAGTTCGTCGTTCTGATCCATAATTAAATGAAAAATTCTTCAACGCCATAAGAGCAAAAACTTTCTAAAAGATCTGGCCCTCATGGTAGAAATCTCTATGTCGTCCAAAGCATTACCAGGAAGAAATTTGGATTTAATTATAGAAGGAAATTTGAATTAAAGTGCAATTAACGCTTTTGAAATGCTCAAGACTTTTAGTTCCAAAAAATTTGTATTAATTTTTGTGAGATCACAAAATCAAGTGTTTGCCACAGGAAATGTTGATAGATAGCATAATTCGAAATCTTAAAATGAGATTATTAAATACCTATACTTTATTTACGTCATGCAATAACAAGTCTGGTCAGAATCTTCTAAGTTTCATAAACTATTTGGAACTGAAATACAGGGAAAACAAAGATGACGTTTTTCCTTGAAGAGAAGCGGAAGATCATCTACCTCTGTAGTTTTTTTTGCATTTTTAAGTATTGGATAGACATTAGTAGCTCTAGGGATTATATTAAAAATGTTTTCAGAAGCATGAACAATCACATAATCCTTTAGAGTATTAAGAAAACAAAGAATATTACGAGAACTGTGACTCTAACCTGATGAGTAACCATTTTTCAGCACAAAAGAAACAGATTGACTATGAAAAAACATTTCAAATGTAATGTTTATTTCCCGGGATACTCAAGTGAGAAACAAGAAGTAGAGGAAGCTAGTGAAAAGCAGTTTGGAAATATTTGAAAAATAATTCATTTAAAACTAAAATAGATACTTTTGTATACCTCCCAGTTCGTTTCTATTATGTTCTATATTATAACTTTTTCTTTCAGTACTGAAAATATTTTAAGAGTACCGGCTCTTAAAGGATTTGAATCCCTTCACTAAAATGTTTTTCTTAATCACAGTATATTTTATAAGGCAATACATGGCCTAAATCAAGTATATCATCAAATAATTTTAGGTGTGGTCTAGCTACATGTGAAACTTTCTGAGTTTCAGAAAAAAGCTAATCTTCTTTACTATTTTATATTTCAATTTTCACTCATTGCTATCTGAAGAAAAAAATTTTTAAATAATTTATTTCAGTAATTTTTAGTTTGAAAAAAATGTAACAGTTCAGTTTTTGACTTACTGTGTTAGGTATGTGATGTAAACTGCTATCTTCTGGTTGCGAATTGATCCAAATTTTGTTATTCCAATTACAGTAAGGATTCTTTTTTCTAAGGAGTTTCTAAAAACCAGTTCTCGGATACTTAGTTTTCAAAATTTTTATCTTATTATATTCCATTTCATATTGCTCAGGTTTTTTCAGAAAATTTTGTATTCAATTTTTTTCTTTTTTCCTTTACAGAACCACTCTTAATATATATTGTATATAGCCTTCCTGGGTGTTGTATGTAGAAATTGTTTCAGTTCATTTGTATGTGTTATTCCTAAAAATTTAATACATTTTTTCCCTCTCAAGATTACTCCCTAGGCTTGTTTTCAATTTATAATTAAGTCATAAATGATTTTACTGAGATTGCTTTTAGTTTTAGCAAACTATCAAAATTGAAAACAGCTCTTGTAACATTATCACAATATATTTATTAAGCTTAATTCATTTGTATGCTTTGAATTTTGTATAAAAATGTAAGATTTGCTTTTATTTCTTTTACATTTCAGAATAATTTTTAAAAAAAATCTGCTTTGAAATTGAGTCAAAAATTTTTTAAAATTAATTAACATATCAACTTTTTCTATAGAATTGCAATTAAATTTAGATACAAGCTCCTGGTCTTAGTACATTATAATGTTTGATTGGTAGGTAGGCAAATTATGCTTATTTCTGTTCTTTTTATGGTTACAGCTTTTGAAAATGGTCACTGCTCTTGAAGAAATTGATGACGAATCTGGATCTGATTTAAGTGAATCTAATAAAAGACAAATGGAGATCGACTCAGATAACGATGCAATAAAGCGATCCCACCAAAGCCTTTCAAATGGTACGTATCATTTTAAAATATTAGTACCGTCTATAGCTGCTGGAGCTATCATTGGCAAAGGTGGGGAAACCATTGCTCAGTTGCAGAAAGAAGCGGGTGCCAGAGTCAAGATGTCTAAGGCAACAGACTTTTATCCTGGTACAACAGAACGTGTTTGCTTGATTACTGGCAGCATCGAAGGAATCCTGCATATTCATGAATTCATAATGGGAAAAATCAAAGAAAAACCAGATCCTAATGCTAAAATGGCAATAGATTTTGATCACAAGCAACCAGCGGAACGAGAGAAACAGGTCAAAATATTGGTTCCTAATAGTACGGCAGGGATGATTATGGGTAAAGGGGGTAGTTACATTAAACAAATTAAGGAAGAAAGTGGTGCTTATGTACAAATATCTCAAAAGTCCAAAGACTATGCCTTAGCTGAACGCTGTATTACTGTTATTGGTGAAATGGATAGCAACATAATTGCCTGTCAAATGATCCTAGCTAAAATAGTAGAAGACCCCCAGAGTGGCAGTTGTTTAAATGTTAGTTATGCAGATGTCACTGGCCCAGTGCCAAATTTCAATCCAACAGGTTCTCCATATGCTAATCCTGATAGTGTTCCTAATGGTACAAACAAAAGTAATAACACAAGTTATAATTCAAATAGTAGTTTAAACAGTCTCAGTCCTACAGCAAATAGCAGTTTTCAAACCCCTCAAACCAGTGCTGCTTCTGCCCATGCAGCTGGAACTGTTACGTTTCCTGACATGCGTATGAGTGGCCCATCTATTCCTCCTGGTAGTATTGCTCAGATGATTGAAAATTTAAAACAAATGCTGAGAGGAAACGGCTTTTCGGAACAAGCAATTTCAGAGATTAGTGCAGCTATGATTACACTCGCTAATTATGGAATCAATGGACTAAATTTAAATCTTAATTGTTTTAGTGGAGTAGGTGAAGCTCCTGTTGATAGTAATCTTGGAATGGGGATGCCAAGTTCAGCAGCAGCTAGTTGTGCTATGACTTCTGGAGGAGTCACCAACATGGGCTTATATGCACCTGCCACCAGTATGTTGGGCATGGAAGCTGCTTCTAGCTCAGTCTCAGCATCAGGTCACATTGGAACGGCTTCGAATGTCTTTAGTCCCATAGGAAATTTTAATAGTGGAATGCCTGGATTAGGCATGGGTGCCATGGGACCAAGCTTTTCTACTCCAACCTCATCCCGCTCTAATGACCGTTTCCTCATGCAAGAAGCACCTCCTGTCTTTGAACCTTTTCGTAGAACCTCACCTACCCTTGCTTCACCGAGTGCAGCTGCCTTACCTGTAAATAATAATTCTTTTGGATTGGGGACTGGATTGAGCTCTGGGTCGTCTAGTTTAAGAAAAAGTCCAGGGCCTGGAGATAGGCAAATGATTGATGTCACAAAGACTGAGATTGAAGTAGGAGAAAATATAGTTGGTGCAATATTGGGTCCTTGTGGAAAAGCATTAGTGGAAATTCAGAAGTATAGTGGAGCTAATATTCAGATCTCTAAAAAGGGCACCTATGCTCCTGGCACACGAAATCGTATAGTCACCATTACTGGTCTGCCAGGTTCAGTCACTGCTGCTCAGTATCTCATTGAATCGCAAATTGCTGAAGAAGAAATCAAAAGAGCTCATCAGAATAACATGGGTGTTATGCATTAACAAGAACTTCATATAGCTTCTTCCTATTATACCTTCACATGGCTTATCCATATTTCCTCCGAGTTCAAAAAGAAAATTATGTGTGATGCAAAGCTGTTGGTGATTTGAATCCAAGCACCTATTTTTTTTTTTCTGTGGTTTTGAGAGAATAAATTTCCTGCTAAATCAAATCATCTTAGCATTATTATATTCAACAAGGCTTATTTCATTTGAAATGAACTGAAGTAATTCAATTTACATTCAATGTTTGATGGCAGAGTGCAGCAGATTGTGTATTCAGGCGTATCTGAAGTCCCATTTAAGATTATTCCAAGGACTGATTGTTATTGTTATTTAAGTCACGTTAGCTATTTGATGCACTTCTGCTACGAACTTCATAAACTATCTTATTAGTATTGCATTATTTAATTCTTTTGTACCTTTGTGGGAAATCTTGTTCTCTGACTTAACAGATTATATTAATATCTTTTATAAACAAAAATTGTTTTTTTGCTAAGTCATTTTGTGTAATTTGCTTCTTTTTTTTTTTTTCCTTTTGTTAAAAGTTGATGTGTTTCTTAAGAGAATGCATGCTATAGAAACAGGGATGCCAACTATCACAATTTTCCGTAATTTCTATGAGTTTTAGTTCCAATTACGGAATTACAGAATGCCTTAAAAGCCTAAAAAATAGCATTTATTGATACTTCCTTATTTCTTAATTTAAAACAGTCTCTTATATTTCGTTTCGTTAATGTGAATCTTTCTTTTTTTATTTACAATTGAACTTATTTTTTTATTCTGTTGTAGATGTGAAGTATTTGTAATCCTTTTGAAACTATTAAGACTCAGAGGTGTCAATTTTTTAAAATTAAATACATTGAAATGCATTTTACTGTATCAAATGTTTAGTTTTAAATTATAATATTAGGTACTAATTATAGAGAATAACCTCCTTTACTACAGAAGAAACGTTACTGCAAGTTAGCATCCCTGCATATTATAGGAATTACATTTTTATCATAAACATTCTTTGTATAACATTGTAATTTAGAGTGTGATGAAATATTTATTTTTTAGGATTATTAAATTTTACAAATCTTTTATTTATGCTTACATGATCTTGTCTAGTTATTTGAGAATATCAAATTCCTTACTGTTTTTAAGTATATAAAAGAATCAAATTCTTACTAAATCAACTGAGAGATTTTTATTCGCAAATGTATGGTCTGGACTCTATTTAAGTTGAAAAATATATGGCTATAAGAACTATAGAAAAAAATTGCATGTATTTGTCTTGTCCTTTACTAAAAAGATATTATTTAGCTTTATATTTTAATCATTAATTTTATCAAATGATTCAAATATAATTCTGGTTGTAAGTAAATATATTTGTGTTATTAAATGAATATTATTGTTATTAATAGATATAAAGTCATATATTATAAACATCTTATAAGTTATTGAGTTCATTCAAAATATTTTTATTTTTGAATATTTTGTTATGAAAAAATTATTTGTTTTTGTTATTTTGTGTGTTGTTATTTTTCTTATTTGTCGACTCAATTTTATGCATGTAATTAGGTTTACTGTTTGTTTTAATTTTTCAATCTTCTAAAAGCATATCAGAATTCTATCTTTTTTTTTTAATAAAAAAATATCTTAATAAAAAAGAACTTCAGTTTTTAATCTATTATTTTTTTATGCAGTGGTAAGAAATTAAAAAAAAAAAAAATTATAGTTTTTAAATTTTCATGTTTATGTGCTTACATATCTCATATTTAAGTGCCTTTTGTCTAGCTCTGATAATTTACATTACTTTATTTACATTACCTTATACTTCTGTAAATTGTGTAAGCTATTAACAATAATAGCTCAGATAATTTTAGTGACTAATTGCAGGATGAAATATTTTGAGGAAGTGAATTCATAGTTAAAATGATAATTCAGACTTATGATCAATTTGATTAATTAAAAAATACTTACATTTAATCAGCTTTCAAATAATTTTCCATGTAGAATGTATATATTCATACCATAGTATAAATTACCATAATTTAATTTGTACTAGTGATAAAAATGACATGCAATACATCCAGTCACTATGTATTGATCCATTACTGAGAAAGTGCATATTACCCATTTGCATACATGTAAATAAAACATAAAAAGCCACAGCATTTACATCATTTCCATTATTTAGTTTACAGATTACACATGTCTGAGCATATCTAATTTATTTAATTTTTTATTACTTATGTACTGTGCAATAAAATTTTGAGTGTAAAAAAAAATGTGCAATGTGTGTCACATAGAAATAAAGCACTTTGGCTATATTTTTGTCTTTTTTATGTGTCACATAAAAATATAGCACTTAGACTAATCTCTGGTTTGGTTTTCATGTGACTCATAAAAATATAGCACTTTAGCTATATTAAGGCTTTGTTTTATGTGACACATTAAAATGCAGCACTTAGACTATATTTCAGACTTTTTTTTTCATGTGACACATAGAAAAATGTAGCACTTGGGCTATATTTCTGTTTTATTTTATGTGATACATTCTGCATAAAAAGATGCTATGCATTGAAAAGTTTATGATAAACTTGTGGTGTATTATCCAAACATTAATTCTTCTATCTTCAGATTTTTTTTTTATTGTGTAATCTCTGTAAGAAAACTATTTCTGTTAAACTGTTTCAGAAATTTATTGATATCATGTTATTTAATACATACTTTTTCTCGCCAATTCCGCATATTAGTATTGCTATATGCTTTAGAAAAGCAATGTTATCACCTGTCACATAATCACATTCATCTTTATTTGCAACTTCATGATTAATATTATCGTGGCCAATGATATTTCATTTCTTTTTTGATGACATATAGTCTGCTGTAAATTTTAGAACAGGTTTTTCTTTATTGGCAACATTCTTTAATGCAGACAGAATTATCTCCTCTTTGTATTAAAGAATGGTGCATTGTTATGATTTCTGTAATTTAAAAAACTATGAAATATATCACTAATCTGCCTCATTTGTTTTGTGTCATAAGTCATCATACATATTTCAAAATATTATTATAATACATATTAATGCTTGAATTAACTGAAATTCACATAAAAAGATTGACATACTTAAAATATTTTATAGAAATTCCTTGTGTTTTATTCCTCATTAGAATTATTAAATGAGATAAACTTTTGAAGTTTTCTTATTTGCTTGATGATTTGCATAAAAATATTCATTACGTTTTGAAAAATTGTTCGAATCATGTGCAATTTTAAATAATAAGAACAGTTCATAAATTAGTGAATATTAATTTTAACTCTTAGTACTCGGAGCGCTTATCTCAATGAGAATCGCTCCGGTAAGTTTGAATGCTGTTTAATTATTTTTATTTATTTAGTTTTTTTAATAGTTTATGCTTTTTAAAAAAGATTGTATTTTTAATATTTTCAAGTTGATGAAAACTAATGTGTAGAAATGTTTTTTTTTTCCTCCTTTCTATTTTGTGCTTGCATTGAGAGAACTTAGGGAAACTTTAAATCTAATTTATAACTGCAGTAGAGCCTTAATTACCTAAAGCATAATGGACTGGAAATTTTTCTGATGTTTTAAGTTGGATTAGAGGTGAGATAGCTTCTCTAAACTACTGTATTGCACCAATTTGCTACAAAATTTAAGTTCTTGTTCCAAAAGTTGCTCTAAAAGACTTGTTTTAAAGGACTTGTTTTAAAAATATGCTCAGAAATATATTCTTCAAAATTTATATTAACTAGTTCTGAAAAAATGCACCAAAATATACTTTTTTCTCCAATTTTTATTAGACTTGCTCTAAATATATGCTCCAAAATAGCATTAGATTCGTTCTAAATTTTTTTTGTTAGATTATAGGAAAAGTTGTAATTTCGTACTTTCTATTTATTATTTATTCTGCATTAAAACAACAAAAGAAAAATATCTATCTTAAAACAGCAATAAGTAGAGTAAAATTGCCTTCATTCAGAAGTATGAATTTTGAAATTTTATAGATTATTTCAATTGCAAAATTCAGAAATATGAAACTACTGCTTCAACTCATTACAAAATACCTTATCACAACGACAAGTTTATCTGATAGAAAAATTAAATTTCAATATTGTTTAGAATACAAAAACAGTTGTAAGATTTTATCACCAATTATTGTAAAGCAAAAAAAAAAAATCCTAACCTAAAGTAAATCTTTCAAAAATATTTTTTATATTGAGCTACTAAAAGAAAGCTAGCGACACTGAATCTGTCTAAGTTATTGTAATTTGATTAATCATGATTGCAAGAATAATTTAATTTAAATTCTATGGATAAGTGATGTCTGGTTAATCAAAATATGTAAATATCTGAAGTCTGGTTGATTGAAGCTCTACTGTATACTATCCCGATATATGTTTAAGTAATAAAGAAAAAAAGCTGTTTGGAATGTTAGGTAAATTTTTTTTTTTGTGTAGTATTAAAAGACTAACTAATGTGGAGTAGGAATTTTCTACTCCGCACACATGAATAATTTATCGTGAGAAGAGAATTACCTCTATAATTATTCATAATCATTTGTATAATATATTAAAGAGGCTTATTTGCATACTTATTATTTACTTGTATTTATTTATGGTGGATTTATTCAAAAAAAAATAATAAATAAAGAAAATCTACTGTACTAATGGTCTCTGTATTCCTAATGAACGCAGAGGTATCCTACAGATAGATCATTCTGGATGATTTAATAATTAGTGTTCTAATTAGTGAAAGATTAGAACACTGAGGTGAAATACTGTGTGTGAGTTTCAAATGTGGATTGTATGTGAACATGTTCATTCGCACGATGAGTGTGATTGGCCTCTAATTTTAATGTATCTAGAAATTAATCACAAAATATTCTTAAAGTGAATGCTTATATTATTTATTTGTTTGTTTTGTTTGATGTTAAACTAATTTATTAGGGATATTTATACATATTTTCAATGGTCTGTCGGCTTTTTCTGTTGCTATATAATTAATTCAGTGATTGGTGTTTCTCCCCTCCCCCTCCTAATTGATTATTGATTATATTTTTCCTGTTGATTTGATATTTTGCTTGAATCATCTAATTGCAATTATCAGGATAATTATTGTTAACTACTAAAAGTGCTATTATCACTTTATTATAAGTGCTATTATCAAATTATTAAAAATTAATGTTATTAGTCTTATAAAATGGAGATTTTTTAGAATAACCAATTATAAGTTCTTGTAACTGGGCTTAAAAAAAAAAATCTGATCGCTCGTGTCTCGACTCGCATTAAATCCTGATAACAAAACTATTGAATGTAAAAAAAACTCTTTTTGCATAGGAATTCATTGTATAATATATATTAGTGAATTCTAATTGTTATTTATGATTGTACAAAAGGGCTGGATATCCCTTTATTTCAGATACATTTCTAAATTTCGTAATCATGATCATATTTTTTTATGCATACTTAATTTCTATGTTAAATTTATTGAGTAGAAAGATTATCTTGTCCCTTTAAATTTATTTTCTTTATTAGAATTTTTATTTAAATGCAGTTGAGTGAACTATGTATAGGTTTATCCCATGTCTAATGGACCATCATTCAGCCCGGCATCACAGTTTCCAATTTTGATAAAATGTAGTTTAAAAATGTCTAGACCTGTCAAGCTAAGTTTTGCAATGACTAAGCTTAACACTAAGCAGTAAATGACATGGGACGAATAAACTAACTAATAACTAAACTAATATGGAAATTATGTTTAACCTTAGACGTTAGGCCCTTAGATTTTATATAGAATTGATGACAAAGTCACCTAACCCTATAAATTTGGTCAAATTGAGCTTGTAATATTTGATCAAGAAGAACCTTAAATAAAACTATGATATGGAAAAGTTTAGCTTAACTTTTAGTCTGAAAAATCTAGGTTTTAACTTTGGATTATATGTAAATTTGTAGATGCTGTAAAACTGAATTCTACAATGTTACAAAGAGAGCAACATATTAAGATGGTAAAAAAATCTTAAATGGAATTATAATATGAATAAGTTAGGCTTAACATTTTAAATATATAGAATTTGTCCTCAGATTTCACGTAAATTTGTGGACATCAGCGATAACTTGGCATATCAAACTATGTTCTGCAATATTTAAAAATAAGCTAAGCAATTGAAACTGCACAAGGAAAGTCTAAATTAAGACTAAATACGAAAAAGTTAAGCGTTACTTTATATTTTAAAAATATGTAAATTTTATTTCCAGATTTCGACTTGATTTGTTCATACTCATTAAGGAATGCTATTGTACTTCTAAAAAATATAAATTTTTCAAATTATTGCAACAAAGATAATATAGAAAGTGTTAGTTATTTTTAAAGCTTCACATTTCTTGTTTGAATGGTTTTATTTTAACTAGCATTAGAAACAGTAAATTGTAATTTTATTACAATGCTTAGTTAATTTATTTACCTTTTAGGATTTGCATTTTAATTATTAAATTTAGCCTGATCCTGATGAAAAATGATCCCTCTAAAATTTGTTAAATAATAATTCTCTGTTTATGATGTATATTACGAAAACTGAAATAGAGACATTCAAACGGAGTATGGGAAAATTTAAACTTTCTGGGAAACATAAAATGAAATTGAAATAGACATTCTAACTTGATTAGTAATAATTCTCTGTTTATAATATTAATGAAAAAATTGAAATAGACATTCGAATAGAGTACGAGATAGTCAGTGTTTTAAAAAAAAATCCTAAAGATTATTATTTAAATTACTATTTTCGAAAATTTTTCTGCTCAACCAGCTTATGCCGATTTTCAAAATCACAAATCTTTTACCTGCTTAAAATTTAAGCTGCAGTATTTAATTTGACAGAGAAAGGTATCAAAATTAGAAACGGTGACGCCACCCCTGGTCCAGATGAATTGAAATGTCCTTAATTTATTTTCAAATTCTAGTTATTTGTTTTATATTTTCTATTTAAATGAACTTGAAGGGAAAAAAAACTTAGGAAAAACTGACCACTTGCATTGTTGATTAAAAAAAAAAAATTTAAACTTATAATTATTTGTAACTGTATTTTTAACTATGTTTAATATCTTTGATTGTGTTTACATCTTGATAGTCTGTGATATTGTTGGTAATGGATGAGACATCATCAATTTTATACATTCACTACAAAGCAGGAGCTTTGAATGGCTTTCTGTGTAAGATTCAACGTTTCAATGAGTTTTCTACATTTTGTAAAATGAAATGAGGTTTTGTTTTTATTTAAACATAAAAATTATTTTTTGTTTTCTCATCTTACTAAATTTGGTGTCAAATTTAAGTCTACTAATACTCTATGTTAATATTTGACTGCTTTGTAAAGAACATTATCTTTTGAAAAATAAACACATATGAATCAGGATCTAGTTGTTATATTTACATGTTGTGAACACACAATAAAAGTTCTTATGAATGAGGAATCCAATTATTATATATTATGGAATATATCAATCTGGAATTAATTATTAAATTTATTATAAGTAAGAAAATTAGCTATCATATTTATATGTTAAGAACATATATTAATCTTATAATGAGGGAAACAGGTGTGGTTGAAATTGTATTCTCTACTGGATCATAATTAATAAAACTTTTTTTAGTAGTATTTGCAGAGCTTGAGATACAAATTATAATTTTATCCATAAGACCTTCTAAGTTAAATAAATTTTGTAAAATAATATTAATAAGGACAGGCCATGGTAGATAAATCCCCTATGCCTAAATAAAAGCCAAATTGAAAAGTGATTGAATTTTTCCCAACAGACAGTTAGGAGCATAGAAAGAGATCCAAGGTTGGTAATTTATTGAAAGATAACAAAGCCAACCCCCATATTAATTTGTCAATATTAATTTGAAAATAATTTGGCGAAAGCAAATCGCCAAAAAGACTGAGAATTAGTATAACCATGTAACTGAAACATTTTTGTGGTAATAAATAAAGAGTTATGAATCGATTTTTGTTTTCGATTTTAGTCAAGAGAGTGAATTAATGAGTACATTAATATTGAAATAAAAAGTTAGCCGTTGCATTGATCGATAAGAAAAGAATAAAATATTTTATATTTGCTCTTTATAAAATGGAATAAAAATTAAATAATTGATTTAATTTAATTAAAATTCGATTGAGAATGATATAAGTTAAAGAAATTATAAAGGTTAGCAAATATGTAATGCCTATAGTGGCATCACTAATCTTATTTTATTTATATGTTATTAACGCATATTAATCTAGAACAAGTTCTTAAATTTGTTATTAACTTACATGAATCGGGAACTAAGTTGTTAAATTTACTATGAACACCTTTGAATCAGGAACTTGGTTGTTGAATTTTATGAACAACAAATTCTTGATAATTCTGAAAATTTTTATCCCATTTGTTGGAATAAGCTGAACACCGTTATGTGATCACTGTTCCGAACAAACTTTGTGCACAAAATTGCTTAATATTTGTCCTGCTTTTACCCTGATTCATCCTGGTAGTCAGTTTTGGGATTCAAATCATTTGAGAACAAACTTTCTGCTCGAAATTGATTCATACTTGTCCCACTTTTACTCTGATTCATCCTAGTAGTCAGTTTTGGGATTCAAATCATTTGAGAACAAACTTTCTGCACGAAATTGATTCATACTTGTCCCGCTTTTACCCTGATTCATCCTCGTAGTCAGTTTTTTGGGATTCAAATAATTTGAGAACAAACTTTCTGCACAAAACTGATTCATTCTTGTCCCACTTTTACTCTGATTCATCCTAGTAGTCAGTTTTTTGGGATTCAAATCATTTGAGAACAAACTTTCTGCACGAGACTGATTCATTCTTGTCCCACTTTTACTCAGATTCATCCTAGTAGTCAGTTTTGGGATTCAAATCATTTGAGAACAAACTTTTCAAAATTCGAAGTCAATATTGTGTATTACAACATGGCCCTATATCTCCCCTTAATATTGACCCATAATATTCAAATTGAACCATGTATTATTTTACCAGATACTAGTATACCCTACCAGAGGAAATAATTATAGGCTTAAGAGGGGGCAAACAATGTGGCCCTATAGGTTAATATGTATGTATATATATATATATAATAGTGTGTTGAATAGCGTTAAAATGTCCCACTATCACTCTGATTCATCTTAGTTAGTAGTCAGTTTTGAGATTGAAATCATTTGAGAACTCAATTTTCAGTTAATGTACCAGATCTTTTTTTATTTTTTCCTTTTTGTCAACTCTTTTGCAATATAGATTAGTTTGCAATTGCCTAAAACTGTCCTTATATATCTCTCATTTGAATCTCTCAATATTTTCTTTGAAAATTATTGAAAGTCCTTTTTGATTGGATTGAATGTCTGGTATTCTGTCCAGGGTAGCAGCTTGAAAGCCACCCAACGGTTTAATAATTACTACGTATACAGTGTTTATTAGAGTAGAGTTCTTAATTTATAAAACCTGCTTTTCTAAAGTCTTTAAAAATGCTTATTTCTCTATTTTTGGTTCCAAAAAAAAAATTCCCCTTAAGACTTGCCAGTTTTTAAAATTTCCTGTTTCTTCAAATTTTCAATAAGGCCTTAATTTTAACGTGCTGAAGAAGAAAAAAAAAAGCGTTGCAAAAGAAATGTCCTTAATTTTGACATACTACATAGGAAATATCCTTAGTTTTGACGTGCTGCAAAAGAACTTCAGTGATATTTTTATTATAGATGTTCATCAAAATGCACGTTTAAAAAAATGATATAGCTTGGAATTTGCATTAAAAAGTATCCTTAACTCAAAATGCATTAATGAGAAGAAAAATATTTTTTTTTCTTCTTTTTTTGGGAAACTGGTATGATTGGGATATTGACGATCTTGTTGAAATTTTATGATAATGTTTTTTTAATGTAAAACAGGGGGCGAAGCGTTTTTAAAAAGTGCTCAAAGGTGCTTTTTTAATTTACGTTTTTTAAAAGCCCTTAAAGGTGCTTTTTTATTCAGGGTTTGTAAAAAGTATTTCAGACTCAGGGTTTGTAAATTAATTTTCTATCTTTAAAAAAGAGATTTTTTTTTCTTCTTTGCCGTGTCGATTGTCGTTCTAAATTACAAAAAATGCATGATTTTCACAATTTTCTCTACTATATTTATCAGAAACTAGTGAATTTATCATGATTATGTAAAGTTTTTGAATTTTATTGATTTTATGTTTGTAAATTAAGAACTTTAAACAATCGGAAAAAAATATTTTTTTATTACTGCTCAGATACTAATTATGAATTTTTTTTTTTTTTTTGAAAGTGATTAAAAATATTTTTTGAGTGTTTAAAAAGTGCTTATTTTTTGTTGAAAATCTGGCTACGCACCCTATTTAATTTACAGGAACCATTTGTTTTATTTTAATAAAAGTTTGTAAGGGGATCAGAACTGAATATGATCTATTATTTTAAAACAAACATAGATTAACTTTTATATTATGCACTTATTTTATATTATTATGTGCCACAACTCCAAAATGGGGCAAACAAACGATAACGAACCCTTCAAAGCATTATACTACGATTTACCATTGTCTTTTATTTGAATACCTTCAAATTAATAATTTAAAATAGTTATTTTTTTTCCTTTTAAAGCAACAGTAAGTACAAAATGCCTTATCTTTTGAAATCGTCCTAAATCTAAAGAGCATGTTATCTTTCTAAAAATATCAAAAATAATCTTTAACCTTGATAGTTAGTTGGGGAAATAAGCCTTTTAAATGTTATCTTTTTTCTTAGGATATGAGTTGCTATTTGCTTTCGATCAATTCTTCAAAATTTTAAGTACATAGTATTTAAATGTTATTAAATATATGCATTGTAAAAAGAATTAAAAGCGATAAAATGAGTATAGCAATATTGCATCAATTTTGCGATGATTTGATAGGAAAAAAAATTCGAAGCNAAAAAAAAAAAAAAAAAAAAAAAAAAAAAAAAAAAAAAAAAAAAAAAAAAAAAAAAAAAAAAAAAAAAAAAAAAAAAAAAAATGAAGCTGAATAAATATTTGAATTTATTTTGTTATGTTAATGCCATGACGTTCTAAATTCCAATATCAGTCTCAGAAGAACTTTTTTTTTTCAACGAACATAGCAACGTCTCGTTTTCAAGTGACTCTTATTTTTTCTGTCATTTGCTTTTAAACAAATATTTTTTTTTAAAAGTAAACTTCATTTAGCGGTTGCTTAGTTTCATAAGTAAGGATCTTTATTTTATTTCCAATTCGGTGGCTTTAATTTTTTTATTATTATTATTAATATTTTTGTTCATTCATTAAAAAAATGTTCGAAAACAACCTGCGTTTAAAATAAAATTTATATACACACTACAAGTTAAGTAAAAGCTGTATTCTGTGTCGAATTTGAAACTAATTTAAAATTTGGACGATGTGTTATTTATGAGAAAAATAGAGAAGATGCAATAGTTTTATTTCCGATATCTTAGTAATTATCGGTGTAATTAGCCTAATTAACAGTACGCTAAATAACACTTCTACAAAGATCATACCTGCCAACCCAGAATATTTAAAGTAGTACTTATATAGTAGTACTAAAGTAGTACATATATACTATATAGCAGTATATATATAGCACAATAATAAACTCTTTTAATAGTGACAAATTTAATGTAAATTTTCTTTATAATATATTGAAAAGATTTTGTTTTCTCCCTTAAGGATAATGATAATATATAAGCTTCAAGAACTTATTGTCTTTTCTTTTATTAATTTACACTTCAAAAATTTATATAATTTATCTTTCGCTATTAACTTTCAAAAACCCTATTTTCGATGAGTTTAATTTCATAATATTTTTGTTACAGATATTATAAATATATATATTTTTCTTTCCAGAGGTAAAAATCATTTGCAGATATTTACACCAAAACACAAATTTTTTCGCCAAATTTACGATTTTATCGCATCGGGTGAAGTGACGAATCCTTAGAGCAGGCATTATATATATATATATNCTTACCGGCGTGAATTAAAACGCGGTTTAGGTTTAAAAGTACAATAATAAAACAGTTAACAAAAATCGCGAAGATGTAAAATATTGCTTATAGCTTGAATCGAATATAATAAAATTAAAAAAACATTTGATCGAAGAAGAAGATATGTATATATATATATATACACTTATACCAAGTGTATATATATATATATATACACTTGGATATATGTATATATACATATATCCAAGGGGATTGATATATATATATATATATATACCTCAACTATAAAAGTTACAATTCAATATTTTGTAATTATTGAAGATGAAGTAATTACCTTTAAATGACAATAATGCTAAAAATTACAAGTCAAGTTTCAACATAAAAATCTCCAATTTCGGCGATGTGTC